GAAAATAAGACACTGTCTTATATTTATTTTTTCTCAAGAAGACACACTAGGGCTTATACCACAAATGCATAGAAATCCTGCTAGGGCTTATTTTTTGGGTAGGTCTTATTTTCAGGGAAGCAGGGTAGTCATATAGATAGGAAATAATGGAAATATACATGGAAATATATTGTTGAAGTATTATTTTATCATTTGTTAAGATACTCTTTTGCTAAGATACTCTTTCATGTTTTATATTCTTTTATGATGCCATGTCCTTAAAATGTGTTTCACAAATGGTATTTTATGCTTCTCGCCTTTCCCTCTGTCCTTTTGTATCCCCTTAGAGCAGACTGGGAAAGGCTGTCATTCCCCCACCCAGAGTGTGCTCCACTCACTGATCCATGACTGAAAAGCAGCCCAAATGCTTCCTTCCATTTGCTCTCCTAGAGACACCCACACCCCTTCCCCATGGTCATTCACAGGATGAAACCCACCAAGGCCTGCTTTTGGCCCTGTGTTATTTCAGGGGGGCTGTTCCACAAACCGTTTACGAGGAGTGCCTGTGAGAGGTTTGATGTGAACCTGCTCATACATAACGCACAGATGATGTAATGAGCACGTGTGCTACACAGGCATTCCCCAGGAAGGTGGGACAAGATGGGCTGTGGTGGCTCCCACGCACTTCATACCCTGTGGCAAGTGCATTATCTGCCGCAGCGTAGTGGGTGTGCCTTTGAAAGACTCCTGTTACCACTGCCTTTTATCCAATTCACGAAGCTCACCCAATCTCACAGCTCGCAGAGCTCGGGTCCACCCTTGTCCTTGCGAGGTGAGGACTGCCAAGGATTCTGATTGCTGCTTGCCAACAGGCAGACAAACCTGGAGCTTACGTTCTTAAGGGAAAACTAGCTACTATGAAGAGTAATGAGCAGAGAGAAAGAATAGGCAAAGGGAGGACGAGGGAAAGATGAGCTGTCGGGGCCACTTTCCTCTGCCTATTGTTTCTCTCTACTCATCACTTTCCATAGTGGCTAATTTTCCCTTAAGTATTTTTTTTTGGGGGGGGGCGCGACGACGGGACATGAAGAATCAGTGGCCAAGGACAGAGGAGAACAGACTGCTGACCCCACCCCTCCAGTTCTCCCAAATTAAGATCCTTTGCTTTCATTGCCCCCGGTGTTCAAAAGTGCACCATGCCTCCCAGGTATCTGGGTGACAAGGACTTGTCCTTACAAGAGTAACAAGCCCCCCTTCCCTTGCCCAAGTGAATTTTGGACCATTTCATTGACTTTGGAACAGACCATCTGCAGCAGCCTCCAAGGGAGTTGCTCTGTTTCCTGGACATGCACAGGATGAACAGAAGTAGGTCAGCCAACAGAGGAGGGCCCTGCCTTCGGGAACATGCACAGGGGGGAACGAGGTTGGGTCAGATGGCTTTCAAATCAGTCCAGCTCTTGCAAACAGCTATTCTTTAGCACTGAGCACTCTCCAGCCAAGAGCTAACAGCTGGACGCTGAAGACAGACAGAGCTGGCTGCACACTTTAGCACCCAGTTGGTACTGTGGCTCCCAGAAGAAACCTGTACTGGAGCATCAAAGGAGGGAATGACGTGTCAAGAGGTCTGAGTTCTCAGCTTGCACTGATTTCTCAGCTGCCCATACAGAGATCTGTTAGCGATCAGCACAGGCTTTGGTGTAGTCCATCAGGTTGGGCCATCTCAACACCAGTGTTAGAGGGAGTTTTCTTGCACTGTTTTCCCAGCATAGGGCAGCAATGAGAGTGTCAGATGAGATCTGAGGAACTGGGGTTCCAATCCCCTAGACTGCTATGACGCTCTCTTTGGGTAACCTTGGGCCAGTTCCTCATCCAACTGACCTCAAAGGGTTATTTGTGAGGGTAAAATGGAGACTGGAGGACCACAGATGCCCCCTGGACTTTCTTGGAGCAGAGGCATGTTAAAAATGAACGAGAGACAGCACTCTCGTAACAGGGAAACAGCCATGGTGAAGAGCCCTCTGGTACTCTCGCAGGAGCATTTGTCCTAATAGGGAAACCTTAAAAGCAGCTCAACAGCTGGAGCTTTCAACTGGGAACCAATTCCTGGTGGGCCCCAAAACAGACAGCTCTCTGGCAAATATCCATGCTCAAAACTGCATGTGGATATTTTCTGTGATGCTGACAGTGTTATAGCTTGTTTCTGGCTTATATACAATCACAACAATTAAATCAGTTGTCATAGCCAGCTTGCCCAGGCCTGCAGATGCTGAATGAAGAGATCTTGCACAGTACCAGTTTTTATAAAACTGTTAACTAGAGCCCATCTTCTGTACCCATTATGGGCCAGTGGGTTTCTCAAGCAAGGCCTTCTGTGCCCAGCTCAAAGCAGCTTTCTAAGGTAGATCGGCTTCCCATAGGCAGGAGAACACAGAAAGGGCTCATCCTCTTAGAGCAGCAGGACATGGGCAAGGCTGGGTGGTTTTTACTTTCTCCTCTGCCAAGAGAGGGGGAGGGAGTCACAGCTTTGTCCTAAATTTATAAGGTGCCTAGAACCACAAGGAAAGCCGGGATATAAGTGTTTCAATAAATAAGTAAAAGGGCTTCCTCAAATAAGAACTGTGATCTTCAGAGCAGCCAATGAAAGCACCCGAGTACAAAAGCACCCAGGCATGAAGGGAGACACAGTGAAAGTGGAAAAATATTGAATAAATCCAACTGATACCCACAAAATAAAAACCAGATCCCAAACTAGAAAATAAGCTTCTGGTAATTGTGCAGTCTTTTCAGCTTTGTATTGGTATGGTCCTGTCATGCATTTTTGAATTATTTTTAGAAGAGTTTGGCTGAAGCTTACCTTCCACCTTTGACCATTCCTGGTGGTCTCATTATAAGAAAATTTCTAACACACTGGTAATGATAAGGAGACAGAAAAAAGAGAGAAGAACATGTTTTGGACTGGAGAAAGACTGTATATCGAAACAACTTGTTAGCAGATGCTATTCTATTCCAGTCCTTCTATGTGTGGTCTTGTTGTAGAAGTTAGTTGATGCCATTGCGCCTACGTTCTTTGGTGTACGCTTTCATGTTGATACATCGAATGACTAGTGAGATATTGGATGTAATGAGATTCTTTCTGTCTGTGCAATTTTCATTACGTTCTTAATTTTTATTTTGTGGGTGTCAGTTGGGTTTATTCAATATTTCTCCACTTTTATCACGTCCCCCTTCTATTTGGGAAGTTTTTTTGTTGGAATATTGGAAAGGTTAACTTTTTAACTTTTTCTTAATCTTCAAAGCAAGACATGGAACCTCTGCCCACTGCTTGGACGCAAGAGACGCCCTGCCCATGTACTTCAGGGACTGCTTAAGGATACCAAATGAGCACCCATGGCAAAGGGAGGGCCTGAGCACCATCATGTTTTGGACAAAAGGCAGCAGTTGCAGCCTTTACCACTCAGCAGGATCTGGAGTCTTCTTGTCGCCTGAAGGTCCTGCCCAGCTGGCATCTCCTTAATGAATGAATCCCAAGCAGATCGCATATCAAGAACACAAAGCCTGCCTCACACAACTCATATCCAACGCAGGATACACATGAATCCACATATCCACCAAGGACTACTATGGAAGTCACTGCTGGCTCAGCTGCAGTGCACAAAATTCTTAATTTTACTCAGCTCAGGGACTGTTAGGAATCATGGGGGAAACCGCTGAACGGTTAGAAGAGGTTCTTTCTAGGGAGTTCAACACAAAACAATACTCTGAACTTAATAGGAAGCAGCAGCATTTGAAAGAGGGGCTGGAAACACGTGCTCTTAGCAATGCAGCTTCGCCAAGGGGGCCCCCGGAACCACCCACAACAGTGCCTGACGATGACAGAGTTTACCAAACCGCTGAAGACCAGACACTGAAGAAGAGGCAGCGGTGGGGCACTTACCCTTTCCTTATAGTAGAAGGAGCTGATGGAGACCTGTTCCTTCTCGCTGCGTGTGGGGCTTCCACCATACAAGATCAGTTTGCCGGGAGTCTCCGTACGCATCTTCATGGGGGTGATGAGGCCGTTATGGTAGGCAGAGAGCGCCGACAGGGACCTAAACGCCAGAAATGCATTTCGGAAAGGTGAGCTTCCAGAGTGACTCATGAGTGGCGTGCTCTGGAGCCAAAGCAAAGGGCATTGTAGCAGCGTATGAATACATGAAGCCATCGTACACCATGTCAGGCCACTGGGTCGCCCAGCAGTGTTCCCTCTAAGCTGAGTTAGTGTGAGCTAGCTCACAGCTTTTTAGCCTTCTGCTCACACGTTTTTGTCCTAGGTCAAGAAGGATGGCTCCAGAGCAAACTAATTTCTGCAGTAGCCAAATTGCTTGCTCACAAGTTTAATGCCAGTAGCTCACAAAGTAGAATTTTTGCTCACAAGACTCCACAGCTTAGAGGAAACACTGTCGCCCAGCCCACTTTCTTCCAGCCCTACCGTAGCAGTATTTTGATTCTTGCCGATCCAGGCCCTGACCTGGATAGCCCAGGCTAGCCCAATCCCATCAGATCTCGGAAGCTAAGCTGGGTTGGCCTTGGCTAGTATTTGGAAGGGCAACCTCCAAGGAATACCAGGGTCGTGATGCAGAGGCAGGAAATGGCAAACTGCCTCTGAAACGTCTGCTGCCTTAAAAACAAGTCTAGCTTGCCACCTTAAGTGCAACACTTAAAAGAGCTAGAACTTCTGGCTGCCAGACAATCTTAGGCTCTCCTGGCTATTCTGCACACAATGCCATATGATAATTAATTAATTCTTGCCAATTATGCATGTTTTCCTGAAGTCTGTAAGCCAATGCAAGGCTCAACTACCATGGAACTCTGACTGCATAAGGTGCACTTTGATCTTTGACAGTTAATTGATACAGTCACAGAGAAATCAGATTTATTGCTTTTTTAACAGGGATTAAGAGTTGTCTGGACTTCTTATCTTCCTTTGGAAAAGCTTATGAGGACATATCATGAAGACGCATTCTTAGAGGCACCCATTGGATTATCTCATACATAACTTTATGTACCAATCACTTGCCGAGATAATAATCACCTGATTAAGACAGAAGAGATTTCAAATAAGTTGAGACGGATATCTTCCTATAGAAATGCACTGGTGTGATAAACTAATCAGATTTGTCTGGATGGAAGCCTCAGAAGAAGATTAGGTGAGATTTCTCTCTTTCTCTCTCTCTGATTTGGGATTATGAAAATCTTTAAAAGCAGTTTGATACAATAACCTGAACACAGCTGCCCACTTGGACCAACCTGAAACCTGGTTTTCTTTAAAATATTACTTACTATAATATGATTAAGAAATGCTAGGAACTCTGATAATTTGAGCATATTTTGATAGCAGCCTCAGGGTTAATTCTCATATGCTTGTATTCTCTAACATCTTGTCTAATAAAGAGAACCATTTCGTTTTTCAGTAAAAGACAAACTCTCTGAAGGTCTCCTGCCTGGTTTGCTGGTAATAATTCAAAGAACAGAATTTACAATTATCTCATTTTGTATGATCAGATTTAAAGGTTGATGGGTAGCCTTTAATAGGCAGATCCTGGAGATATTTTAAATCCACCAATTCTTCTAGAACTGTTTAGTTCAGATTCTCTAATTGGACACAGAAGCAAAACACCCCGTCACACTACTGGCCTAAGTCCTTCCAACCGGAAGAGGCCAGAGACTGAACCTACAATCTTCTGCACGCAAACCATGTTTGCTGCTACTGAACTGTAGGCCACAAAGCTGCTCAGCTGAAGCATCCAAGAGCTGCTTTGCTGTATGAGACTAACCAACCCCGCATACTGTTTCCAACACTGGCCGGCCCCTACAAGAAGGACATGGAGGCCAAAGCACCCACAATCAATATTCAAAGATACATTGCCCCTGAATATGATGGTTTCACTTGTCTGTTGTGCTTAACAGCCATTGATGGACCTCTCCTCCATGAATATGTCTTAAAGCCACTTCAGACCTGGCTGAAGGGCGGTAGAATGGACTTTGCCAGTTTGGGCGGTAGACAGCAGATGCCGATTTTGAATCCTACCACCACATGTAAAACCCCCTACAAATGAAAATACCAACCTATTAGGGAGAAGGGTACAGCACAGCACATTTCTCACTGTGCTGATTTTCTGCTTTCAGGGGAATGGGCATAGCTCAACAGCAGAGCATCTGCTCCGCACACAGAAGGTTTCCTGGTATCTGGTAGCGGGTGATGTAAGAGACCTCTGCCCGAGTCACTAAAGAATAGCCAGAGTAAACAATATTGACTTTGACAGACCAGCTGTCCAACTCAATTCATTGGGGCTGTGACTGAGCGGTAGAGCATCTGCTCTGCACGCAGAAGGCCCCTGGTATCTCTAGCTAAAAGGATCAGGTAGTAAGAGACAGAAAAGATTTCTTCCTGAGACCCTGGAGAGCTGCTGCCAGTCAGAGTAGACAAGACCAACTTTGGTAGACCAACAGTCTGACTCAGTAGAAGGCAGCTTCTTGTTTAAACTACTGTGGCTCAGAGGCAGAGCACCTGCTTGGCATGTAGAAGGTCCCTGGTTCAATCCCCAGCACCTCCAGTTAAAAGGATTAGGCACTGGGTGATGTGAGAGACCTCTGATTGAGACCCTGGAGAGTTGCTGTCAGTCAGAACAGACAATACTGACCCTGACAAACCAAAGGTCCTTCTCAGTAGAAGGCAACTTGATGTGCACTTGCAGGGTGACTTGTCGGAAAGGAACATCTGATCCACCCCTCCTGCAGCCTGCACTGGTATAGTTCAATCTACTATCCAAATGCCCTACCGTATCTCATTCTGCTGCACGCAAGCGTAGACCAGGTCCGTCACCAACTCCAGCAGCAGCCAGTTCTGCCATTAACCTCACCTCCCTCTCCCCACAGAATAGCCTTTACTCCAGGATGAGGTGTGAATATCACATGCTCTTCTACCATTAGGGGCAGTTGCCACAAGCCCCAGATACTTACCGAGGGGTTGGTTCAGTTGGTGAGACCGCTCGGTGCATCGTCATTGGCCTTGTGAAGTACACCAAGTACCCTGCAAAGAGGAAAGAGAGGCCCAGTTGAAGAGGACCACCTCTAAAGCAGAGGTTGGGGCCAAGGACAAAATCAGACTAACTGTGCAGATTTTATAATTCTGCCCAAGAACAGAATGAGGGGTAGGGTGGGCAGAAAGGGAAAGGCCATTCAGGATCCTGAGAATCAGAAACTACGTACTCATTTTAAAAAAAGAAGCTCTTGAAGTGCAAATATAGGTTTTGATGAGTGGTGCTGAGTTTTATTCATTATAGAGTGCCACTGAAGTGAACCAGTCGGGTCCCAGTGACTAAGAGTCCAAGCCAGAATTCCACACCAGGGAGGTGGAAGCAGGGACAGACGGGGAAGTTGCATGTTTCAGTTGCATGTACTTGGGCTAGTGTGGGGTAGTGGTTAAGAGTGCTGGAGCAGGATCTGGGAGACCGAGGTTCAAGCCCCACTGTCGTTGGGGCAGCCTGACCAAACCAATTCCACTGAGTCAGGGATGCTGACAGTGACCAGGAAGCACCTGATGTGGGGCCCTGCCTGCAGCCAGCTGAGAAGGTGGGGTTCCAGAAGCTGTGGCCACTCCTCCCATGGGGGAGCTTGTCAACTGAAGGTGATGTCCCAATGGCTCAGGTTCCAAACCCAGAGGTGATTCCCCGGGTTGCCTTGCCTCTTCTGTCCCCAGAACCATAGGAATGCCAGCGGCAAAGGGCACGGCATGAACTGCAAGAACGGAGATGCAGAGTGCACTTGGCAGCATGGCAGCACCTGGGGCTAAGGAGCCAGGACAACTGTCCACTCAGCAGCTCACCATGGTCCAGTACTGCGCCTGCTATAAATGAGGGAGCAGAAGATGAGCTGGGTGTGAAAGCAACAAGTCATTCCATCCCTGACTCTGCAGCCACTGCTTTGTTTAGACCCTGCCTTGCTTGTGTGACCCTCAGACCAGCTCCTGACTTCAGCTCTTGACTTTGTGACTCTGGCTCTCGGCTTTGTGGCTCCTGACTGTGCACGACCCTTCGACTCCCTGACTTTGCTCTCGGACAACCCTCTGGTAACGAATCTCTGGCTTTCTGACTATTGGACCAGACTCTTGACTTTGCTACCCGTAACTGGACTCTCACCTCCTCTGAGCCACACTCGCCTGTCTCCGCCCACCCCGTGACACCCACTGTGCCATAAAAGCTTACGGGGTGACCATGGCCTAGTCACTATCGCTCAGATTAAACTTCTTCACAGGGTTGTTGTTGTGACAGTAAAGCAGAGGTGGGGAGAGCTATATCGTCAGATAGTTCTTTCATCCCCCACTGTGGAGACAAGAGGCAATAAATAAAGGCCTTGTTTCCATCAGGTATAAGAACATAAGAACATAAGAGATGCCAATGTTGGATCAGGCCAAAGGCCCATCCAGTCCAACACTCTGTATCACACAGTGGCCAGAAATACCAGTGCCATCAGGAGGTCCACCAGTAAGAGGTTATATACCAGTTTTCACAGAAAAAGTAAAAATAACAAAAGCTGGTTGGGGTGGGGGGAAGCAAAGTTTCCAATGGTCAGCAGGTGGGGCTTCATACTGTTGCTTGGATTTCTCTCCTATGGAAAATTATGCAAATGAAGCTTATGCAAGTATACCTAATTTGCACCATTTATACTGGACATCAAGTTTAGAGTACCTTAGCCTGTAATTTGTCAGAAATGCCTGGCGTGATCTGGTTCATGGGGTCGCGAAGAGTCAGACTCGACTGTGCGACTGAACAACAAAAGCATATAATTCGGTTGGGGGGTCTGGAGAGGGGGAGAGGTGCCCCCACAACTGTGCAGGAATCAATGGGAGAGCACGAGGCACACCGTGCATCCAGCATATACTTAATCAATTAATCAAGTGTGGCAGCAGCCCGAAGTACATTTGAAGAACAGCTTCTGGAGGAAGGGTCCCATACTACTACCACACACACAAACACAGATTGGTGGCAATTTTTGACACATCCTAACCAGGCACTCTGACCACCTTTCCACTCTTCCTCTGCACATAATGAAGGCTCAACCAACCTGCCCCACAGAACCGGGCTCCAGAGGTACGTGGGAAAGGGATGTTGGAATCCTGATAGGAGCCATAAGCATTGGAGACTCTGGGAAAGGTTGGCAAAGGAGGAGTTACTGAGTTTGGGAGCGCGTAGGGGTTGCTGGAATTGTTATCCTCTTGGTTCTGAAACATAAAAGCACATAACAAGAGTTGCATGAACAGAGCCCTGCAGAGCCCCAGCGTATCCCTGAGGGTCATCAGGAGGAGTGATGAGTCTGTATGGGAAGGCAGGGGGCAAGGGGTAGCCAGGCTGGACTGCGGGGAGGTCTCTGAACAGGCCTGTGCTAGAAAGAAGCCTCTTCACTGCCGAGTGACCTTGCCCTGTTGCTCTGCTGCTCCTTACATCATGTAAGGAGGGGCAGACGGTATGGCAGTTCGGTCCACCAACCCCACACGAGCTTTTGCAGTGCAGCTCCCCTCCCTGCTGGCGAGGCCATCCTCCCAGGTCCCCCTCCTCCAATAACATCTGATTATCACAGGGCTTCCTGCCAAGTGCGTGCAGCTCGGTGGGCTCCATACTGCTGCCTGGGTGTTACTGCCGGGATCTGAAGTATGGAAATGTTAGAGCCCTGGTCTAGAGCATCGAATTAGAGAGAAAGACAGCCTTGGCTGACTGTAACATGCAGGAGCATAGAGAAAGAGGAAGCACAATACTGGATTTCAACTCTATCTATCCATCCATCCATCCATCCATCCATCCATCCATCCATCCATCCATCCATCCATCCATCCATCCATCCATCCATCCATCCATCCATCCATCCATCCATCCATCCATCCATCCATCCATCCATCCATCCATCCATCCATCCATCCATCCATCCAATCCATCCATCCATCTAATCCAATCCATCCATCCATCTAATCCATCCATCCATCCATCCATCCATCTATCTAGTACTGCTCAGATAGCAATAGCCTTCAGCGGAAAGATTTCAACCACACAAACATGCGCAGGACCTTGGTATCAAGGGCCAAAATGTAGCAATGCAGTCTAGCTACAGAGGAAATGGGGAGCCGGCTCTTGGGAACACAGAGGGGCAATGTAAATGGAGCTTTAACACTTTTGCTATTTTCTACAGTGGATCCCCTAAAAGAACGCTCTTTCAGTATCAAAATTTATCACAGCAAAACAGTGGAGAGAGGGTGCCTCAAAGCTTTGTAGTCAATCAAGGAGCTTCCCGTAGTGCACGCAAACAGCAGTAGGTTGCCTGGCACACAGCTGAAAACCTGGGCTTTGATTTCCATGCCTTTGCCCCATGTGCGTCTTGTGCTCCTGGTTTAATGTGCCATGGCTAAAAATGGATAGGCAAAGAAAGACTATTGTATGAACGAAGGCTCATCTGGATCCCCAGGTTCAATGCATACTATGTTGTTAAATTCACTAGGTGATCATAGGTAAGTATCTCTTAGGCCTCACCTTCCTTCAGTGGGAAGTTGTGAGGATACAAAATGCCATTCTGATCCTGCTGGATAAGGACTCAGTGTAGTGAACTTACTATAAGCTCAGTTTTTATAACTATTCTGCAGCTATTTCACGTCTCCAGTTCACATTTCTTATCATGTTGCGTCACTGTATTTATTTATTTCTTGCTTTATTTTACAAAAAAAATTATCCCACGTTTCTGCCCTCACAAGGGCCACCAAGGCACCTAACATATTTAAAAATACACAATAAAATCACATTTTAAAACCATTAAACTTATCCCCCCAATACTGTAGAGCTACTTTAAGGTTGTTTTCCATTTTTATCACAGCCTTAAGATTTGTTACTTGTAAGTGTGTCACTGTATGCATTTATTATCGATGTTGTAACTGATTGCTATGAGCTGCTCTGGGCATATTATTTCTTTATCGTTTTTAAAGAGATAAAATGTCAAGTTGCAGGGCAGGGAGCACAGCACTGTTGGGACCGACAGAGCAAGGAACGGGGGCCAAGAGAGACGCTGTGAAAGGTAGGAGAGGGCTCATTCCCTACCACAACAGACTCCAGGCACGAAACCAACTGGCGCAGACATGGCTCCAGGCAGCACTGGTTCCGCTTCACTTTCTGCATGGACGTGTCCTTCAAGATCTGAAAGAGATGCAAAGATGTGCTTGAAGGGGGTTGTCCCCGGCTCCAGGTTCCCCCAAGACTCTCAAGACTCCAGCAGGACTGGCTCCCAATTTAGGGACACCCTGAGCAGAGGGTGCCCAGCCCCTCCATGCCTCCCTTCCCACCCACTGCATCCTATGCCTCTACATCCTTCCTTTTATGAGCCCTCTCACTGCCTGCACTCACAGATGCCTGCACTGCATGAATTAGTTTGCTCTGGAGCACTCCTTCCTGAGCGAAGACAAAAAACTGTGAGCTAGAGGCTAAAAAACTGTGAGCTAGCTCACGCTAACTCGGCTTAGAGGGACCACTGGTCTGTTCCCTGATGACGCTGGACACCGCATACTACTAGAAGCATGGATGGCAGAGTGCTTGCAAGCAAGCAGGTGGGGGAATGGTGGGTGGCTTTAAGGGGAGGTGCATGGTCAGTGGCAGTGGGCTGTGCCAGAAGCCCTGGGCCCCAGCAGTGGCCCCACCGGATGAGGTGTATGCTGACATTAGCCGTGGACTCCAGCTCAGAAATGTCAGGCACCCAAAACAGATGGCCCACATGGATCAGACCAGTGGTCCATCTAGCCTAGCGTCCTGTTTCACACAGTGGCCAGCCAGCTGCCTGGGAGGGCAATGAATACAGCACAGAGACCCAGGCCTTCCCCTATTGCTGCCTCCCTAGCACTGGCATTCAGAGCTGCACTGCCTCTGAAGGTGAAGGCTCCCCTTTAGTCATTCTGGCTAGTGGCCAGCCACTGATGGACTTGTCTTCCATGAATCTGTCTCTTGACCCTTTTAGAGTCCCCTATGCTGGGGGCCATTGCCACCGGCCCTCAGAGCTCTCCAGAAGTCTTTGGCCAGCCTCCCCCAGTCAACAGCTCTGTCACACGCATACAGTCTGTCTCACCTTCAACAGCTTGACTTTCATGGTGGAGGGGATGGTTGTCTGATTGACAAACTGAAAGGAAGGAGCGGCATTGTTGGGATACTGCACAGGGAACATCACCAGCATCTTGACCCGGTGGTTGCTGCAGTGCACGGAAACTGTGCAGCTACGATTGACGGCGTCCATCTGCCGAAAGAAAGCATGCACAGCATAGCAGGAGGTACCCTGGTTCAGGGGTCACTGACCTTTCTGAGCCCGTGGGCACCTTTGGTTATTTGAAAAGAGGGTGGTGGATGCAGGAGGCAGCGCCAAGCGTGTGCACGGACATAAACACACTAAGAGAAGGAGGTTGGGGAACAACATGCATGCACAGCACACCCAGGAGGGAAGAAGAGGAAGGACCCCTTTATTTGTATGAAGACAGCAAATCACAGGCCCTGCTTAGACACTGGTCCTGTCCACTTCCCAGTGGCTCATGGCAGGCACTGGGGATGTGCCAGCTGGACCCATGAGCTCCAGGTCGGGGAGCACCGTTCAAGCTAAAGGAGGCCTCTGCATCTTACTTTTTTTCAAAGGGTAAAGTGCAGCACAGGAAAGACTGGATCCAGCCAACTTTTTCTCTCAGCACTGCCCCATCTACCTCCTTACCAGAGTCCCAACTCCACCTAGCTTTTGTCCATGCAGGTCCCATTATTGCCTTGGGGGTAGGGTGGGGACTGTCCTTTTTATTGCCGGCAGAGAAGCGGGATGGATCCAACCCAACGCACCGCCAAACTGGTCTCTCAACTCAGCAAAAAGCAACTCAAACCTCCCTAGTGGTAGAAGGGGAACTAAGACTCCCTCGTTATTTAAATTATTAATAATTACAACTTGCAATAACTATGGACTGCAAGGCAGAGATGTTCCGCCAGGCTTTTGGCTGAGGACAGTGATGGATTCCACCTTGTCTGGCAACCCCCCCCCCCTTTTCTGCCTTCCCCACAAGGCAGTGGCACAATCTGAAGTTTTTAGCGCCATCTAGTAATGTTTTAACTCGTTATTATTTCACCGTTTTATTATTTATGAATGTGTTTAACTGTTGTTCACCGCTCTGAGCCTTGTGTGTACAGGGGAGGGCAGCCTAAAAGCTTAATGTATAAAAAATAAATAAAATTAATCCCTCCCAAACAGAGCAATCTGTACTGCTCTTAGAGGTTATAGCTCAAGAAAACACACAGATTAGTAAAACCTATTTTTAAAAATCCCCGTCCAAAAACTCACTTTCTGTAGACGTCAAGATTACAAGGGGGTAAAAAACATGTTTTACATTCTTGCTTTAATTTGACTTACAATTTTTAGCTATGATTTTCCTCTTGCTTGTTGTTTTACGAAATTTTGGGAAAGCGACTGATCGGGGAAAAGTGCATTCCCTTCATGATTGAACAGACTGTCTACAATGGACATCCAAGACAGAGAACTTGGACTGGTTACCATCAAACGCTGACAGGATGCTCAAGGTGGAGTGAAAAGTCCACTGCGTTTACAGACCTTGACAAATCTCTGTTGGTTCAGGACAGCCAGGGATGCAGCTTGTTCGCTGCGCCTGCATTCCCTCTTCCCTCCTTGACTGGCAGGCAGAGTGGGATCAAAGCTTCCCAATTCACCACAGATTCAATCAATCACCAGTTTGCCAAGCGCCTGCATTCGAACACCCTACCAAAGTGATTGTTTGATTGAAGCCTTCCTAGAACCAGGAACCTGCTAACTGCATTCTGTGTGCCAGCAGAAGGAAGGAGGGACAGAAGATGCCAAGCCCAGCAAGACAAGCAGCGTTCCTGCCCGTCAAACAGCCGGAAAGTTGTTCTGACATAGGACTGGATGGAGCAAGCTCTACTGTTCCTTCCCTGGTCTCTTGAGTTCAAGGAAGGCAGCCTGGAAGAAGGGGCAGCAAACACGGCCAGTGCTGTCTCAATTCCTAGTGGCTACCATGCCATCAAGAGGAAGCCGCTCTGCTCTCCCCTTACCTCCA